GTCTTTTGCTCACTGACCACTCCAACTCCCAACCTCTCTATCCCCCTTCCCTGAAATTTCTCCATAGCACTAATAACCATCTAACTTATTGCATATTTCACATCTCCATGTGTTTATCGTGTCCTCCATCACCCCCACCCTGACCCTGACTCCCAGCTAGAACGTCAGCTCCGTGAAGGCAGGGATTTTTGTCAGTTGTTTTTTTTTTTTTTTTAATTGGTTTGTCTCCAGTGCCTAGGGCTATTCCTTGAGCAGGGTAATGACTCAATAAATACCTGCTGAATAAGTGAATCAGTGTCTACCAAATGAATAAAGACATGAAATCCATGATGTGTATCTGTATCCTCAAACCTCTGGTGCTGAGTAGTCTTTAGTGAATTACCAAAGAGGCATCAAGCTTAAGTTTAAGAACCCAAATAGAAAATGAAGTTGAAATCATTTGAGTTCAAAAGCATCACAGTGTTTCTATCTCGATGTGGCTGGTAGTTATGCAAGTGTATACATATGTAAAAATTAATTGAACTGGACATTAAAATTGGTGCACTTTACACACTTTTCTGTATGTATGTTATACCATGATAAAAAAGAAAATACAAAACAAAAATATGAACAAAACAAAGTCCAAATAGTACATGAGAAAAATCATTAGAACCTTGAGTTTCTTAGCCCTTATTTTATGATTTAATATTATTTTTATTTTAATATATGGGGGCGGGGTGCACCGTAATCTTGACAATGTTTTGGGCCACTAGATGTTCCTGGTACTAATAAATATTTGTTCTAAGAAGTGAGAGATTCACCTTTATATTCTAAATGCCTGGCACTGAGTAAGAGCTACCGCAGTTCTTTTGTGATAAATGAATGAATGAATAAATGAGCTCTGCGAGCCTCTGGGATGTGGCAGCCAGACCTGAAGTTCACTCCAAGGGTCCCTCACACTCCAGACCCACCCCCACCCTCCTCCCAGCCCTGCTGGCCCTAGCTCCTACCCCAGCAGCTCTGAATGCTGTCCCGGACTTCGAGACCCCTGCAGTCTGGGGAGAGATCACAGAAAAGCCTCTAGTGGGGTTGAGGGCAAAGAAAGAATAGGGGCAATCCGACCCATGGGGAGCCCTGGGAAGGGCTCCCTGTCCCCTCAATACCACCCATATCTATTCCAGTGCCCAAAGCACCTTCCCCAGACACTGGGAAGCAATGTCACCCGGGGAGAGGAGGCATGAGGGACTGACTATGGGCAGCTGGAAGTGACAGTGCCTGAGAGCGGCCGGGACGAGGAAGGCGGTTAAAGCAGAAGGGCAGTGGCCAGTGGGGAGAGAGATTAAGGGGCCAGCACTTGGGGCCCCTCAGGCTGTGGGGCCACTTACCAGGCAGCTGCTGTGTGAGATTGAGTTCCTTCTGGTACCGGGGCTGAGTGTAGGACCAGATTCGCACCTCAGCCCCCAGGGCAGCCTCGAAGCACTCAAATACTACAGAGCCCTGTGAGGAGAGGGTGGCGGAAGGCTGGTGGTATAGGGCTCAAAATTGAGGCTCCTCTCCATGGTCTGCTCCACTCACCCTCTGCCCTATTCCCAACCAATGACTATTCATACTGTATGGCCCCCAATTCTGCTGCGAACATGTCCTCAAAGGCCTCCAGTTCTAAAGCACACAGCCTCAGGAGGGGTGGCAGCAGGGCCAGGATTAGTGCCCCCACTCTATTAGTCCATGCCTCATCCCTGCTGTTCCAGGTCACGTGCCAAAGCTAAGGTGATCAGAGACCCCAGACCCCAGCACAAATGTGGGAGGCTCTCCCCACAGAAGTCGCTCTCACTCCCAGTGCCTCAGTGGGCCTCATGATTGCCCTGTGAGGGGGACCAGCAGGTGATCTCCCATTATTTTCCAGGTAAGACGATATAGACTGGGGGCTGGGGACAGGAGGGAAGTCAAAGTTTGAGTGACTTGGCCCAAGTGGAGATACATATCCCAACCATGAGCAGCCCCCTGAGGCTGGGAGAAGCTCCGCGGGGGGACAGACATGGTACATGTGGGACAGACACGGACAGTATGGCAGGGAATCCGGAAAAGTGGATTCAGCCCACAGACCTCCCCTCTGCAAGCCTCAGCTTCTCTATCTGGCGCATGAGGGCAATAATAATGTCTAGTTCATGGGGGTAGTTTTGAGGATTACAAAAGAAAGGAAAACTTAAACTTTCTGAGACTCTTCCGTGTTGGGTATTATACCAGGTATTTTATACATATCAACTCATTTTACTCTCACAACAGCTATATGAGGTAGGACTCTTCTTTTTTTTTTGGCCGCACCGGGTGGCCTGTGGGATCTTAGCTCCCCAACCAAGGATCGAACCCGGGCCCTCGGCAGTGAAAGCGCAGAATTCCAACCACTGGACCACCAGGGAACTCCCGAGGTAGGACTGTTCTTTTTCCCACTTTACAGACAGGAAAACTGAGGCATAAAGGACTGAAAGAACTTGCTCACAGCCCTGCTAGAATCAGGACCTAAAGAGATAATGCCCGTGAAAACCCTTCATAAATTCATTATCATTTCGCATACCACAGACTGACCAGGCTGCACGAGGGCAGCAGGCACTTGCACCTCCAGTAGGACGCAGCGGGCAGTAGGGTAGGCCTGGAAGGAGAGCACGACGTGGGCCTGGAGAGAGGCTGTGAGCAACAGGGCAGGGGGTCGGTCAGGCTCAGGGGCCCTGGGCAAGGCTCTGGAGAGGGGCAGTTGGGCCAGCCGGCTTCTCCTCACCGTTCCTAGGCTCCTCGATCGCTGGGTCCTCTGCAATTCCAAACTTCTCTTCATCTTCAGGCTCTTCCCAGTACCCTGGAATGACCCGAGAGCAAGGCTCAGATCTAGCCCCAGCTCTGGTTTTGGGTTCCTTCCAGGAAGCTCAGCGCTAGGAAGCAGAGGCCAGGCTTGGGGCCGGGGGTGTGGGCGGGGAGACCAGTGTGACCTGGGGGGTCCGTTGGCCAGTGTCCTCCAGGAGAATACTGAGGATGCCCCGTGCTTCCTGACAGACACCCTCCCTGGTCTTCGTGCCCACTCCAGACACACTCACATGCACCAATGCCCAGTCATGGGATGACAGGCTCACCATGCACAGCCAAGTGGACGTCCACACGCACACAGAGGTCACAGTCGGTATCCTTGTAGCACCTTAGCACCAGCTCTGTCTGCAGGCCTGTGGGCACCAGCACGGGGCCTGGGGCAGACACGAGGCTCCCAGGCAGGCAGAGCACGTCACCATCTGTGTGTGAAGGGTGGGGTGGGAGCTGAAGCTTCTCAGACCCAGAATCTGGTTGCACCTGACAACCCCAGAGGGCCAAGGAGCTTTGGGCTCTTCCTGGGCTGAGGGTGGGTGGTGAGGGCATGGGACTGAACAGCTCCCCTCCCTTCTGCCCACCTGGGAAGATCTTTCCTCTCTAAAAGTAGGGCTACTTACCCCAGAGGTGGCAGGAAAGGCCCTGGGAAGGAGGTAAAGACAAGTTAGAGTTTATGCGTCCAAATCTAACCATCTTTTCCTGAGGCCCCCCCCCCCACCCGCCTACCTCTTTCTAGGGCTCCCTTTTCCAAGTCCCTCCCAGAAGAGCTCAGGCCCAGCTCTTGCCCCCTCCCCATTCTTCTCTTACCCCATCAGCACCCGACAGACCAGCCAGGGCAGTTCTGACGGTGATGGCAGCGGCAGGAGCCAGGCTAGGGCCTCAATGGCCGCAGACCGAGCCCTGAGCCTTCCTCAACACTCCTACAGTCCCAGACTCACCGGAGAGCAGCGGGCAGTGTCCTGAGGCCCCACAACCCTCTCTAGAGAGAGGACCACAGGGTTTCGGCCCAGTGCCAAGGACAGAAAGAACCAGGGCACAGGCATCTTCCAGGTGCCAGGCAGCACCCAGGCCTGAGGCCCAGTCCTGCCCCCCCCCCGAAGGGGGGCTGACACCACACCTCTTCTCCCACTCAGCTGCGTGCCTGCGGGCAGGAGGGGCCGGAAGCCCTCCCCAGTCTCGGGGTCCCGGCGCTGGGCCGCTTGCGCACGCCCTCTCCCAGGAGTCCTGACTCCCAACCAGTCCCTGCCAGAGTGCTTTCGTTTTGGCTCCTGGCAGGCAGCCGGCTGTTCCCGCCCCGCCCGGCCCCTCCCACCAACACCAGGCCTGGGAGCCAGCAGCCTGGACCGGAGTGGTGGCCTCACTCCCTCCCTCTTTTCCTCTCCTCCTCTTCCCCTTCTCCTCCTTCTCTGCTGACACCTGGCTGGGAGGGGCCCCTGGAGAGGGTGGTGGCCTAATGGCTGAGTGAGGGAGCTCTTGCTCACTCTGGGAGTCCCTAAGGAGGAAGTCTCCATTGAGACAACCAAGGCCCTAGGCAATCCTGGGGCATTTGCACTTCCCATGTGACTCTGGGATCTTGGTGTCCACGGGGCCCCTCTTACTGGCCACCCCAGGTCCCTTCAGACATTCCCCTTGGGCCTCATTGTGGGACACGATCTCTAAAGACAGGGACAAGGGGCACCGTAACGTGAGCTTTTCGCCACTTCCTGGCCTATGCTCAAGTGAGGGGTAGGGGTGGATGGGACCCAGGACCCAGAGCCAGGAAAACAGGGTCCTATTTGTGCTGTTGCCATGGGCTGGCTGCGTGACTGTGGCCCCACACCACCTTTCTGAACCTGTGTTTTCTTCTCTTCTCTCTGAAGAATCACAGTGAGGATCAAGGAAATTTCCAGGGAGACATTGCTTGTGAGAATATGGCAGGCATGGATGTGGATTTGGGCCCAGAAAATGATGCATAACAACCGCCAGGCAGGGTCTTGCTGACCCTTCCCCCAACTCAGCACCCCGGGCACACTGGAAAAGCACCTTGTGTTTCTTAGTTTATCCATCATGTTCACCTTTATTCAACTTTCTCTATCTCAGTCTCCATTGTCCCACCTTTGCCCCCATCACCCAGGGCCAAAGCCTCCTTCCCTGGGTCCAGAGCCCTCCCTCCCTCCCTTCCTCCCACTCTGGGCAGGGCCCCGGTCTGGAAAAGGGGGATCCCTGGCTCCCAAAGGGGTTTCTGTCCCCCCACCCCCTCTGCAGCCACCTCCCACTCAGAGCTGCCATGTCTCCTGCCTCCCCAACCCCTGTCCCAACCTCTCTGGCCTGGACTGGAGCACGTGCAGACGACTATTCTCTGGAATTTCGGAGAGAGGAAGTGGGACGATCCCCCACTCACAACAGCACTGAGGTCAGAGGAGTTCTCAGGAAAGAGTGACTCTCCCTGGGGGCTCTGAGGGAAAGAACCCTCAAGCATAAGCATGAGGAAGAGACTGGACCCTGGGGGAACGTGGGGAACGGGCTGGGACAGTGAGTGTGATGCCCCGCTCCCGGGCTGGGAGGTAGCGTAAGGCTTTGTGGCCAGTGGCCCCTAGGAGGCATCCAACGATTCCAGGGTAGAAGCCTCATTCGGGGCTTCCAGCCAGTGCCCCTAGGCCTGCGGCCACAGACATCTGGACTGCGGTGAGCTCTGCTCAGCCTTGATCGGCAAGTTTGGCGGCCTCGCGTTCCAGCTGGCGGCACAGCTCCACGCGACCCCGCAGGCACGGCCGGGCCGCGAGGCGACCCCAGCTGGTGGCTTGAGTAGAAGTCCGCGCGTCCAGCGCCCGCAGCAGGCGCGGCAGGTCTTGAAGCAGGCGGTAGCGGGGCAGGGCGCGCAGGGACGGAGGAATGTCGCCTTTGGCGCAGAGGCGACTGAAGTAAGCGAGCAGCGGCAGCGGGCGCGGGGCGGCGCGGAGCAGGGTGCGCAGGGGTGCGGCGCGGGCATCCGGGCCGCCGGCGGGGCTCGGGCTGGCGCAGCTCCACAGCAGCAGCACGGTGCCCCGCTCCCGCGCCACGCGCGCCCGTGCCGCCCAGAGCCACGGCAGCGGGCCCACGCGCGCCACCCGCGTGCCCTCCCACAGGTCCACGATCACGTCGCGCCCGCCGCCCAGCGCGGCCCGCAGCAGTTCAGCCAGCGCTCCCACCAGGCGCCGCTGCGCCTCGGAGTCCGCCACGTGCAGGAGCAGCACCGGCCGCGCTCGACCTGGGCCTGGGGGTGGGAGCAACAGATGAACAGGGTCGGGGGGGTTAAGGGACAGCCCAGCCCTTTCCTCCCAGGCCTCAGGGCTACATGATAGGGTTAACTCCACCACCACCCCTTTCTTCATCTGCGCTGGGGATGGGTACCCAAGGCAGCTTTAGCCTACAGGCCTATAGGGCGCCTTTGGGCTAATTAGATAAAGGTGCCCAGGAAGAGGAGCCGGCTAGGGCGCCAGGTGCAGCGCAGGCTGGATTTCCGCCCCACTAGCGTCTGGCCTAAAGACTGGTGCAGTGAACCACCTGCAGAAGGACCTTTGCCCTGCCTTAACCATTCCTTCCCACTAGGGGGCATGAGACTCACCGCCTTCGGTAACAGACAGGGGGGTGCAGTGGCAGGGACAAGGCTCTTTCGGAAGGGAGCCTGGGCGGGGGAGGGATGGGGGCAACTGGCCTAGGAGCCAAGGAAGTCTGAATCCCCAGGTTACCCCCAGTGAGCTTACCTGACAGTGGGCGCTGGCAGGTGAGCACCAGAACAACACCCAGTAGGGTGGTGAAGGCCAGCAGTACCAGGATCAAGAGCCCCAGGAGCCTATGAGAGACTGAGTCAAGAAGGGTGAGGCCAAGTCCGGCTCCTCAGTGCCCAACCTCCCTCTCACTCCCCCTCCCCCTCCCAAGAACTCACCATCCGGACACAGGAGGTGCTTCCAGGCAAACTGGACATCTGACCTCCACACCTGAGGGCACAGAGCCCCCCAATCCCTGTAAGCCAGGGTAAACCCTCCTCCCAGGGGAAGTTGAATAAGGCATGGGGATAGTGAAGGGGAATCCCCCTGGATAGGGAATTCCTCCAGCACAGGGTTTGTGTCTGGTCCAGCTCTGGTGGGCACAGAACAAGGTCAAGAGTGGCAAACTCAGAAAGTAAACCCAGGGACTTCCCTGGCGGTCCAGTGGTTAAGACTTTGCCTTCCAATGCAGGGGGTGCGGGTTCAATCCTGGTCAGTGAGCTAAGATCCCACATGCCTCAGGACCAAAAAACCAAAACATAAAACAGAAGCAATATTGTAACAAATTCAATAAAGACTTTAAAAAAATGGTCCACATCAAAAAAGAAAGAAAGTAAACCCAAAGTTAACCAGAGCATCCATGAGGACGTGGAAGGCACAGGCCCTGGCTGAAGTAATCAGACACCACTGAGCTCCAGCCCATGGTCACCATGCCTGAATGTGGGAACAAAGCACCAGGTTTTCTGATTCTTTTCAAGAGACGCCAGAAATCAACTTTTTAAAATGTGACATCTCCCAATATTTAAGTGGTGGCAACTAATTCCAATTTTGAACACCGTGCTGGCCGAGTCGAACATTTTTATGGACTGGATTTGCCCCATGTGTCACCTGTGGTATAGATGACAGGGGAGTATATGCAGCAGAGTGAGGGCAGGATTCCTTACCAGGACACAGCCCCCTGGCCTCAGGAAGGGAACAATGAGGTCTAGTGTCACTGAGCTTGAGCCCTGAGTCTGTGGGAAAAAAGAGCAGAATGACTGTCCCCACAGAGGCAGATCTGGCTCTGTCCGGCCCCTGAGTCTTTGCCCATTGCTGTGTTCCTCCTTTCTACCTACCACCCCTACCCAAACCCTACCCAGGCTTAGGGCCAAGTGCCACCCCTGACAAGAAGCCTTCCCAGGCTTCATTCCCAGATCCCGCTGATCGTTCCCAGATCTGAACTGCTGCACAGATAAACATTAATCAGGCAATCAGGCACTCGTCAACAAACATACTCTGGGTGCCTACTCTGTGCCAGCCCCTGAGGAGACAAGGCGGGCATGGACATTGTCTCTGTCCTCTAGCAGCTCACAAACCAGGAGGCTAATTATATGCTGCCTCCCTTCTCTGTTCTGCGCACCTGAAGGGGCAGCTTGTCCATTGGAAAGAACGTAAGTTGTAGAGTCAGGAGACCACAGCTAACAAAGTCAGGCTTAACTATTGCCTTTGTGGTTCCTAGCTGTGGGATCTTTGCATGGAGAGAGACTTCCTTTCTCCTTGAGCCTCAGTTTCTTCATTTGTGTGTGACAGATAATAATCCTTGTTTTACTGGGCTACTGAAAGCATCAAATGGGAATATGCAGGTGAACCCCCTTTATAATACAAAGTACAGGGACTTCCCTGGTGGTCCAGTGGGTAAGACTCCACGCTCCCAATGCAGGGGGCCCGGGTTCCATCCCTAGTCAGGAAACTAGATCCTGCATGCAGGCAACTAAAAGTCTGCATGCCACAACTAAGAGTCCGCAGGCCGAAACTAATAAGTCCACATGCTGCAACTAAAAGATCCCATGTGCCGCAACTAAGACACGGCACAGCCAAAATAAATAAATAAATAAATATTTAAAAATACACAGTGCAATGTGTATTCATTTAGTAGTAGTAGCTGTTATTACATTATGGACTCCTTGGGGGCAGACTGTGTTATATACTTTTCTTGTATCTCCCAGGGCCTAATACAGAGTGGGAACAGAGTAGGCACTCAATAAATGCATGCTGAACTGACTGCCATCTGTCCACAGGCAAGGATGTGGCTTCACCCTGTGCTCTGGGTGCTGGTTAGAGAGTTGATCAGTCTCCACCCTTTGGGAACACCCTCCACCACCTACCCCATACCCCAGCCCTGCCCCAGACCCCATTCTCCAGCCAGCTGTGAGCAGGTGCTGATGCAGTGGCTCTCAAATCGTGGTTAAACTCAATGACGTTCTCAGCTCACAAAAATAAATGAGTCCATGGATTTAGCTCTCAATTTTAAGTTATCCCACATGACTTTGTCGTAAATCTTAAGCATGGTTTCGTCTTAAATCTTAAGCATTTCCTACCACCTGTAGGCTTGGGAGCCCTCACAGAATACAAAACAAATAAACAAGCTGCATGTAAGTAAGAGAGAGCTGAAACAAGCTAGCTATGCTTAGTCAGCTTGGTGCTGTGGTTTTGCGGATACATTTGATGGTGGTTTTTATGTCAGATACACAGAAGAGAGTCTGCTAGTCAAACTGCTGTTAGTTCACATGATAGAGTTAAATCTGTCAGTAGTTTACAGTATTCTGCGAAGAGCACTTCAGCTTCCTGGGGCTCTGCCTCCCAAAGATAGAGAACGTCTGCCAGGAGGCTTGTGGAGGAAGGCAGGAGAGTAGTGGTAGAGGACAGCTGGTTCAAGAGAAGGCATCAATATAAAATGTGGTGGGAGTTTGAGTGGGCCAGAGAACAGCTGGGAGTGGGAGGGCCAGTCTCTTGTCTCTGTTTATCCCTGTAGGTTCAAAATCGAAAAGGATTAGAGGGACTTCCCTGGTGGCGCAGTGGTTAAGAATCCGCCTGCCAATGCAAGGAACACGGGTTCGAGCTCTGGTCTGGGAAGATCCCACATGCTGCGGAGCAACTAAGCCCGTGAGCCACAACTACTGAGCCCGTGAGCCACAACTACTGAGCCCACTCGCCGCGGCTAGAGAAAACCCGCGCACAGCAACGAAGATCCAACACAGCCAAAAATAAATAAATAAAAATAAATGTATAAAAAATAAAAAAGAAAAGGATTAGAAACTGCTCCATTGAAGACCCCAATGACTGGCAGAGGAGGCAGCTGAACAAAGCCTGGCCAAGTAAATAAATAACCAGATGTTGTAAGAGATTTGCTTGCCTCCACCTGCTGTGCTCTAATCAACAGGTTCTAGTGGGGGCCAAGCCCTGGCTAGGCCATACCTGGCTGACGTTGTACACAGGGAGCACCATGCTGTCCTGCCCCAAGCCTGAGTGGCTCCAGGCAGCACTGAAGGTGGCGGGCATCCTTGAGGAGAAGTGAAGGACCAGCCGCTGGGCCTGGGTATCCATGCTCACGTTCCAGGATGGGGCTGCCAGGGGGCAGGAAAGGGCATCATGTAATAGATGATGGTTTGTGGGAGGTGATAGAAGCCGGGCTGCAGTTAACAGAGAAGTCAGGGCAGGGATAGAGTTTGGCTTTGCCGCAGTTGCATGAGGGTGAAATGGTGGGAAGGGGTCCCAGCCAGGGTCACTTATTGGCTCACCAAATGTCTGGTGGGGGCATTCAACGTGGCTGCTGTTTCCAAAAGAGAACTGAGAAATCCAAGAATGGCAAGTCAGCAAGCTCCAGGCACCATGCACACCCTTCCCCCTCCCGTGTTGCCCACGCTTGTACCTTGAAGCAGAGCTGGGGGTGCAAGTCCACCTTCTCCAAGACATACCACTGTGGTGGGAGAAGGGAGTTAGGGAGCAGGGCCCTGGACCCCAGCCCTGCCCACCCAGGTCCTAGGGAGGCCGTCTCACCCCCTCTGACTCTCGAGCCGTGGCATTGGGGACGTCTTCGCAGAGGGTGTGCCAGCCCCGCCTCTGGCAGAGGGAGGCGTCCAGCTTCAGTGGGCAGCGGAGTGTCAGGGCCATGACCATCTGGCTGTGCTGGCTGTGGTCAGTAAAGCTCACCGACTCCCAGAAGTCCGAGCCATCTGGGCAGGCAGCAGGGGCAGAGAGTGAGGCCCAGGAGGCCTGAGCCCCATCCCCAGGGCATCGGGAGATGATATTTGTGAGGGAGCCTGGCACAGCCCTGGTCTGCCTAGGTGCCTGATAAATGAGCATGCCTCCTCCTGCCCCTCCTGTTGCCTCTTCTGTTTAGCTGTCTCCTCTCCTTCCTGCACCTCCATTCTGGCCAACTCCTTGCTGCTCCCCAAACTCAAAATCTTCATATCTTTGCTTATGTTCCTCTCAGAATCAGGAATGCTTTCCCCTCCCTTCTCTCCTTTCTAAATCCTGCGCATTTTCTGAGCCCAGCTCAGGTGTCACTCCCTTTAGGAGACCTTTTCTACTCATGGACAGCCGTCATGGGCTTCTCCCTCCCCTGAGTTCACGCCTTACAGCCTATTCCTTAATTACAACCCTGCCCTGGACCATAGGATACTTTGAGCTATTCATTTGTCATGTTTGAGAATCCCGTCTCTGCAAGTTGGGCTCAACAGTATGCATAGATGTCACCGACCACTTTCGCATATAATATTGAACTCCAGCCTCACAAGGAGTTGGAAAGTGAGGCAGGGCAAGTATCATTAGTTTACAGATGAGGAAACTGAGGCTCAGAGAAGAATAAGCGGCAGAGTTGGGGTGTGAGCCCAGGTCCTCTGGTCCACCTTCTTAGGACATTACCTCCTGGGGTGGATATTTCTGAACAGTGCTAGTACAATGTTCAATGCTCTGATTTATTGGCAGGCTGATTGCTAGACATGGTAGCCCATGACTTGCCCCCACTGACTCCAGAGAAAGTGCCTGCATGCCTTCTGGGGACTTTCTCCAACACAGGTGTAGAGGGTGTGCAAGTGCGTGTGTGTGTATGTGCATGTACGTGTACATTTGTGGGGGAGAGAGAGACAGAGAGAAGCTGTGCATGCACAAGAGTCACATGAGTAGCACTCACAGGCTTCAGGCCAGCTCTGGAAGGGACATTTTTTGTGCCTCACGGTGTCTTCTTGCAGGTAGGACACCTGTGGGGACAGGGGAGGAGGGAAGAAGGGTCAGAGGAATGGCTTTCCCTACATCACTCAGACTTGAAACTCATTCTGGCTTGACCTTGCCCAGATGCAAGCTGCCTGAGCTGGCAGGGAACCGAGGAGGGGAAGAAGTGTGGGGTGTGGGCAACTGTGGGTGGCACTTGGCACTCAGGGAGGAACCCCAGACTATAGGAGCAAGATCAGTGGGTGAGGGGCTGAGTCCTCTTCTCCCGGAGAGGAGAACGTATCCCCACAAAGAGGCAAATCATGAGGTCCACATTCCTCAACTTTGGCCTTCCCTGGCCTCCACTCTCAGCGATTCCTAAGGTGCTGAGTGCCCCATAGGGCCCCTCCCTCTGAAAGCCCAACACCCAATGTTATCCCCCTGGCAGGTGCTCCCCGCTCCAGGTCTCTGCCTGCATCCTCCCTTTTGTCTCCTCCTGGGTGACAAGGCCTCCGCCTTTCCTGTCTAGTCCAAAGAAGTCTTAATGCTAGGCACCTCAGTCTTACAAGGAGAGGAGGAGGACTTCCACGCAGGGCTAGTGGGGATGAGACTTCTGGGGCCATATGGAGCCTTGCAGTGGCCACGAGCCCCCACTGTGACAGCTCAGAACACCCAGTGAAGGCAGCTGTCTATTCTGCCTCTGTGGGCTGAGGCCGGGTCTCGACAAAGGCAAGCTGTGTCTGGGTGGGGCTGAGGTTGGACTCACCCCCAGGAATGTGCCATGGTCAGCAGGACACCTCCATCCCTGGCTCTGTGTGTGGCTCACTGTCAGGCTGGCACCAGTCTTCCCTAGCATCTCGTTAACACCAACCCTTTTAAAACCTGACTTAGTGGAGATATGCTTGACCAACGGTGCTATCTGGGTGGCCTAGGAGTGAAGCCATGGACCACCCACACCTTTTCCTCTGCTCACCTCGATGCACAGACAGGGCAGAAGGAATTCATAAGGCAGGTCTACAGTGCAGCCCCCAGACACAATTTTCTGTGGACAAAGCAGCAAAGGAAGAGAAGAAGAGGGGCCTGAGAAAGAGCAGAGGCACCCTGGAAAACGGCAGGAGAAAACTGGGACCTTGGTCACCACATACCCTACTTTTCCTCTTATCTGAGACATTTCTTTGAGAAATTTCTTCTCAGGGGGTCTCTGCCCTGTAATCTGACCATCTGCTCTAGGTGTCTCAATATATGGAATGAGGGGAGTGGGGAGGAGATGGGGAAAGGAATATACATTTATTGAGCCCCTACTATATGCCAGGGAGAGTGCTAGGTGCTAGAAGCACCAACTCAATTAATTAAATGCTAGCATCATGGTGATCTTGGGAGGCATCATCGCCATTTTAAATGTGGAGAACTGAGGGACTCGGGTACAGCATCAGTCCCTTCAAATGGTACCAACTGTATACAAGGGCATCCGTGACAACTGGAGGTTGAGGTGGAGTGTCAGGGCCTAGGCTGGAAGAATAGGGGACATCTCATTCTCTGAGGAGCAGTGACAAAAGGGAGGGAGATGGAAGGGTACCAAGACAGATGTGACCATTTTGTTATTTTCTCAGGAGAACAGCTTCTTGGGGGAACTGAAAAGTCCTCTTAATGCAACCTGAATCTCACTGAGGGTCCTCACTGGGGGTAAGTGCCATATCCATTTCTCTGCTAGGCATTCATGGCTGCCGCAGGTCTCTGCCTGCCCTTTCCTTCCTCTCCTGCCAGGAGACAAGGCCCCCTGCGTTCTCTGCCTAGACCAAAGAAGTCTTCATGCTAGGCACTTCAGACTTGTAAGGAAGTCTTGGACAATCACCACCTCTCTCTGGGACTCAGTCTCCCCATCTGTATAATGGGTAGGTCCTTTCACTCCAGCCCTGTGTGATTTGGCTTTTACAGGCAGATGGCCCTCCATACCTGGGCATCAAAGGGACGGCTCAGCTCCTCACACTCCAGTGCCCACTGGTGGCAAAGACGCACACTGACCTCAGGGCCTGGAGGAATGGTCACTTGAATAACCCGTGCCTCAGGCAGCAAGTCAAAGGAGAACTCAGGCCCTGGGGAGAAGGGGGACTTGGTGGCCTTGTCTTTTGGCCTTAGCACAGGTACCACTACTTGGCTCCACCATCTCCAGTCACACGATGTGCCTACCTCCAAGCCTTTGTGAGCCACGTTTGGAGAGAACTTCCCCTTTCTCTGGATCTGCAGGTTGGGTTCTTTTGGAACGCAGCCCCTTGTGGGAGGTGTCTGGGGAGGGGACGGAGATGTGATGGCCCTTCTCAGACAGGCAACGGCTACTTAGCAGCTTCCTCTGCAGGCAGAGAGCAAGGCTGGGCTGGTCTCAGGCCAGGAATCAGGAACTCTGGCTTCTATTCCTGTCTCTGGAATCCAGGGCACCACAGGCAAGCTGCTCAACCTTTAAGGCTCAGTGTCCCTAACTGTGTAATGGACAGAATAGTCTTCTTGAGCTCCACTCTTTCCATCTCTTTTATGGCTGGAGAACAGAATGAGAAGCCAGAAAGAGAAGGGCTGTGGGGTGTAGGGAAGGGCTGGAACTGGCAGGGAGAGTACCTGAGCAGATGCTGGCATCGTGTGCCTCCTACAGAACCGGAACTTGTAAGACTTTTTGGATTTCTGCACCAGGAGGTGGAGCCAGTCCCACTGAAGACCTGCACAGGGAATGACACATTTACTATCCAGCCCTTCACAGCCCCTCCGCTACCTGGAGATGTGACCCAGTGTTGGACAGTCAGTCATTTTAGATCAGGGAGGGTAATGATCGCAAACTTCTTTAGTCCTAAGTTATGATACAATCAAAAAAGCTTTTTCTCTTCTTAAGTAGAGAAAAACTATGTATATACAAAGATGTTCATGGTAGCATTATTTATAACAGTGAACAATTAAAAACTGTCAATTCTTAAGCAGTGTGTGGGCATTTAGTATGCCCCAGGCACTGAGCTAGGCAATGAAAATGTAGAGTTGAGTAAGACAGATCTTACTTTACAGATAGAAGGTAAAAATAGTAAACTCATAGAACTAAAACATTTTAATCCCAAGAACTGGTACCAGCTGAAAGGAGAAACACCTTCACAAAACGATACAACTGAACTCACAAATATCAATCATGGTGTGTGCTATTTTAGGAGGGCCTAATTCTCTGCTGAGGTTGACAACAGGACAAACATCTCTTCTAGTAGGATAAGTTTTACTAGCGTCAGCCTAGGGGCCCCCCTAAACTCCCCCAATTCCAATCTCCACTAAGAATGTCCCAAAGGACTGTTTCTCATACCCGAAGGATCTGACACCAGATGCAGGCACCAACAGCAGGGACAGTGGCAGAGCCAAGCACGCCAAGGCTTTGGGGAGGGGGGAAAGGCCAATAGGGTATGGCGAGGAATCTGGGCAGACCTTCCTGTGAAAGATGAAAAGGAAATCAAATGGTAAGGTCCCAGGAGTTCCCTCCTGCCTCAGAAAAGTTGGACTTGAGGCTGAGCTCTGCCACTTACATCCTGGCCGACTGACCTGGGGCAAGTTACAGACTCCTCTAAGTCTCAGCTTCATCATTCATAAAGTGGAGCTGCTGTCAAGATCAAGTAACATAATGCGTGGGAAAATGCCTTACGAAGTATAACAAAATGTACCCTAAAACAGGAAGGATCATTGTTGTATTACTGACTGCTGAGGGACCAATTAAGGGAGAGTGCCTGGAGACTTACCTGGCTCTCATTTAATCCTCCCCACAGCTCAGGGACAGCTGTTTTCATTGTATAATCATTTCTACCGCGCTGCTATACCCTTCAGAAACCGTGCACTGCCTGAAGCCATGCATGGAGTATGCAGCAGAATTACAACGCAAATCCAGGCTCACCTTGTGTTTTTTCTTTGATACTATGCTACTTCCCAGGTTGAGAACCAAAAATTAGAATGGAAGAATGGGGAAGAGGAGCAGGGCAGGGAATGAGACTCACCAGTGAAACTGTCATCCTGAAGGCACAGGGCCCAATAGGAAAAAGAAAGGACAGAAGTATAATTAGTAGGTATTCCCACGAGGAGCATTCTCCCTGGGGTCTTTGCCTCACATCACCTAATTTCGGGGTCTGCAGAAGCCAATAGCCCATCCACTCTGGCGCTTTTCTTCCCAGCTCCACCCTGCCCAGGCCCTCAGTGCACCAGGACCTTGACTATCCATCCCTTCAAGACGATGTAGAGAACACAATGAGGCTGCCACCAGGACTCAGGGACTTGGGTAGCAGGAAAGGACAGGCGGAGAGTGGGGAGCTGTACCAGCCTGTGCCAGCCAGGTGTCCCCACCCAGCGGCAGCAGGCACACCTTACCATGTGGGACGCCAGCAGACAGAGGGTGCTCCAGCTGGGAAGGTAGGGGCAGCCAATACTAGCAGAGGCAGACAGGCCAAGGAGCAGCTGGACGAGAGGCAGGAGCAGGGCTGCCAGTCCGGGGCTCCCCATGGGCTTCCGAGGGATCAGGGTATCCAGAACATGGCTGCGCCTCCTGAAGGTGGGTGGCAGGGCCTTGCCGTGCAGCAGCAGGGAGTGCAGTGCCAGCAGGAGCCCTCGCCTCAGCCTGCCCCTGCCCCGCCCTGCCCCAAAGCTCCTCCTCAAGCCCAACCAGCCGGCCAGGCCACATTCCTTCTCCTCCAAGTGGAGGGACTGAAGGACACTTGCCCCCCAGAAAACCCTACTCCCCTACCTGGAGGGCAAGGGGGCTCCTGCTCTGGCAGAGAAATAACAGGCAAGAGGCGGGCACAGGGTCAGGGGGATGGATGGCGGCTGCACCCACTTCGTAACTCCTCCTACTCCTGCAACACCCTGCAGATCAGACCCGCCCCTTAGCGTGCTCCTGGCCTTGAATCTCCCCTGGACACGTGCTTCATCCTCTCACTTAAAAGACTGACAGAGCCATGAAGCACTTCTCTGCAGTGGGTGCTGGAGACCGAGGTGACTGATGCACCACTTAGAGGTGGGCAGAACAAAAAAGCACGTAAACCTCACATGTCCCCCTGTGCATCCTGGCTCCCACCTGGCTGACTTTCAGGACTACGGTCCAGCTTTCTCTCTCTACCCGTTGGCCAGTTCCAGCACTTCTGCCAAAGGGCCTCCAGCTTCAAGGATCCACTCATCAGTACAGTCTGCTCAGGAAGCCCCAGGTCTCATAGCTGAGCCCTGGAGCTGAGAGGGTGGGCCCCACGCATTGACCTGGTTTCCTGTGGTTTCCGATACTGAAGAGGCTCCATTCTCTGCGGGGACCCTCCACGTCGTCCCATGGCTTCCTCCTGCTCATGGAGCATTTGAACTGCTTCAGCCCTCACCTTGGTGACACACACCGTAGAAAGTATGGGGCACACCTACTGGGTGAAGGTATCTTGAGACTGTTATTATCCCTCTGCACTTTCAGTAGCTTGATCATACCTATCTTTAGGCCAATTCTAGTTCTTAAGTCTTTAGGTCCACTGTCTAAAGACCCCATTGTACCCATTATCCTAAAAATACCCTCTAGCTTTTGAGTTTCTTAGAAAGACCCTTTCTTATCTTTGTTTTTCCAGTGCCTAGCAATGGATGTCGTGAAATAGGTGCTCTGTAGTTGAATAAATGTAAACTATGATGTTTCTTCTAAGCAGCAGTTTATCTATTTCACATTTCATAAGCACTTTCATATTTGATCCTCCTAACCACCTTACAAGACAGGTGATAATTATTCATTTCATAAAGAGAGAAATAAGGAAGCAGAAAGGAGAATGATTTGGTCAAGGTCTCTAGCCCAAGGAGCTCCAATTCTGCCATCCTCTCACAGTTCATTTCTCTTTCTACCATCCTTATGGCCTCTCCTCCCACTGCCTCATCCCCCTCTGCTTCTGGGAACCCAAAAGGGCCTGCATGACACAGTTCTGTCTTTTGACCTTGAAGTCCATCACTGCAAACAAATCAGTAAGATGTGAAGGGAGAAAAGGGTGGTCTGGCCATACTAAAGACAGGTTAGGGAGTCTTCCCCCTAAATTTCACCTAGCCCACAATGGTTTAGATCTATACCGATAATGTGTTTTCTAATGCTGGGGGCGTGAAGTGAGAAACTTGGCTCCATTCTAGAATACTTTTCTCTTTTGACTCCTTTTATCTTCTGATTTGATTCTCACAGTGAAAATACTTGGTTAACTGCTCCCTGACCCTGGCTAAGGTATGGTAGGAGAAGCAGAAAAGAAATAACAGACACATACACATGTGAAATAAAGTACAGAAAGGGAAGAAAAGGACCACATAGAAAAGGCAGAGGAAGAAAGAAGAAAGGGGGAAAGGAGAGAGAAAAGGAGGTCTGTATTTTATTGTTCTGCTAGTTTATTGTGGAGCCTGTTCCAAAAAGGATTTAAAGTAAAAAGCACAGTGGGTAAATTCCAGCACACCCTGGGGAAGGGGGAGGGGGTCAGATCACAATTTGCTGAACTCCTATTATCAGGCTCTGGGCTGTGTGCTTTGCCCACATTATCTCATATTATTGGTACTACAACCCTTGAGGTCAGTCTTACTAAACATCTTACAGACTTGGAAACACTGGGAAGATTAAGTAACTTGTCCAAACAGAAAATGGAGGGCTGAGGCTCACCCCTGTGTCTTTCTAGCTCTTTCTGTCAGAACACACTGCTTGGGGAGATCTGTGGTTTCTGGGCCCTGTAGTCCACAGAAGTACTAGAATGAGGGGATTTCCCTGGTGGTGCAGTGGATAAGACTGCGCTCCCAATGCAGGGGGCGTGGGTTCAATCCCTGGTCAGGGAGCTAGATCCCCACATGCATGCCATAACTAAGAGTTCTCATGCCACAACTAAGGAGCCCGCCTGCTGCAACTAAGACCCCGTGCAACCAAATAAATAAATTTTTTTTAAAAAAAACAGATGTCATGAAGGGCTTTAAAAAAAAAGAAGTACTAGACGGAACAATGTGATGAGTTGGTAGGATTAACAACATGGGGGGGAGAAATTGTAATAGTTGGAAAGAAAAAAGGATAGTAGGTCTTACGGGAGTGAGTCATCAGTGATCATATTTCTAGGAGAGTAGGGATTGTTTGGCAAGTGTCAACAAGGGGGGAGTACTTCTGTGGCTGGAACAGGAGGGGGCCAACTGGAGTAAAGGCAACAGAGGTGTGTGGTAGGCCTGCAGCACAGAAGTCCTGTCCTTTTGGAAGGTGGCCAAGGCCTATCTCACCTGTGGTTTGTGTCTGAATGAGCTGATCCAGACTTCACTCTCCTGTAACCTTTACGTGGGTAGCAAGCCGGGTGCTCAGGAGGTCTTGGCAGGCCCCTACACGTGCTCAGGTAGACAGTACACTGTGGGGTCCTTGGGCAGCCATTCTTCCTGACAAAGCCTTACCCATGCATGGACGCTGAATGCAGCAGCGTCTCCAGGCTCTTCCTGTAATGCCAGATTCCCAAGGTCTGTTGCGGCAACTGTGCCTACTGTTTGGGCACCCTGGGCAAGAAGGTCCAACCAATTAGACCAACAAAAACCAAGAGTACACAAGTGTTCCTTTCTTATTGCTGCTCTTCCAGAAGGGATCAATCTCCAGAATATCGATGCAAGAAATTATGCTTAAGAGAAGAGGAAGGGACCCCCAATCTGAGAGGGGAACACCAACACTGCTCATCAAGGGAAGGGATTTTGATATTTATTAAGCACCTACTATGTACTATACAGTTTATATACATTATTTTATTTAATCCTCACAACAACCCTGGGTGGTAGATGCTATGATCCCCATACGTTAGATAAAAACAGAGGCTCAAATATCTTGCTCAAGGCAAAAGGTAGCAAAACGCCTGGCTAGATTTCTAACCTGAGTCAGTGTAATATCAAAAACTGTTCTTTCCACTATACCACACTGCCTTTCCCATAGACTAGATGCTCACTAAGGGTTCTTCCAAGGCCCACACCCTCTAGCTCTGTAAACATCAGGGATTAATAACCATTCCTCACATTTGTATAGTGTTAGGGTTCTTAAAGCACCTTCACAAGATTTTACCTCATTTGATCTTCAAAACAATCCTGTGAATTTGGCAGGGCTGATCTTGGTACTTGAACTTGTCTTCTGATCCAAATACAGTGCTCTTCCCACTAAATCAAGATCCCTTTCAAAGGGGATCTTGTTTACTTCAGGGAATACTACAACCATGAGGCAGGGGGAAAAATGATTGGAAAGCCCAAAAAGCAGAATCCCAACAAGCCAACAAGCAGAAAACTAAAATGAACCAAACGGCTCTCTTTTCGTGTTGACGATAATTTTCGCAATGGGTCTTTTCTTTTTTTAATTTTATTTATTTTTTGCTGCATTGGGTCTTTGTTGCTATGCGTGGGCTTTCTTTAGTTGTGGCGAGTGGGGACTACTCCTCGTTGTGGTGCCCGGGCTTCTCATTGCGGTGGCTACTCTTGTTGCAGATCACGGGCTCCAGGCGCGTGGGTTTCAGTAGTTGTACCGCACGGGCTTAGTTGCTCTGTGGCATGTGGGATCTTCCCGGACTAGGGATCGAACGCATGTCCCCTGAATTGGCAGGCGGATGCTCAACCACTGCACCATCAGGGAAGTCCCTTCATAATGGGTCTTGAAAAGCACTACAAGACTGTAAAGTACCATTCTAGTAATCAAATAAATTTAAAATTCTTTTTTTAACTAATAATTATTTACATCCTGGTTCTCTAAAAATCAGCAATCTGTGCCTGGTGCACATAACTCCATTACCCACTCATTTCCATCTGCACCTCTCTGCTATCCAAATCCTACCCTTCACTCTAGTTCTTTGCTCTGACTTTAGGCTACAATAGCACAAGTCACTTCATTCAATAAATTCAGAGTGCATGATGCACATTAGGTAAAGAGCAAGGGGTGAGGAAAAGACATGTAAACTAGTAATTCTGTCAGTAGAAGAGATAAAATTAAAATGCCATGTGAATATAAAGAAAGAACCCTCACTCCTTGAAGTGAAGTAGCCAGAAGGCTCCAGAATTACCGTATAAAACTAGGTCTTGAAAGATAAGTAATAAACAAGTATAAAAGCAGAAAAGGAAAATTTTTAAGGAAACTGGGAAAACATGGAACCAATATGGGAATTCATAAGAGGTTTTCCTGACTGAGACAGACAGTGTGTGAGTGACAGTGTCAGGAGATAAATCAAGAGTGATGCACTGGAACCACACTTTGGAAATGTCTGAAAAGGATTAAGGAATTTTGGTTGTTCAAAAAATAATGGCACATCGGGCTTCCCTGGTGGCACAGTGGTTAAGAATCCGCCTGCCAATGCAGGGAGCAGGGGTTTGAGCCCTGGTCCGGGAAGATCCCACATGCCAAGAAGCAACTAAGCCCATGCGCCACAACTACTGAGCCTGTGCTCTAGAGCCCACAAGCCGCAACTACTGAGCCCACATGCTACAACTACTGAAGCCGGCACACCTGCAGCCCGTGCTCCGCAACAAGAGAAGCCACCGCAACGAGAAGCCCGCGCACCACAACAAAGAGCAGCCCCCGCTCGCCGCAACTAGAGAAAGCCCGCGCGCAGCAACAAAGACCCAACGCAGCCAAAAATAAAGAAAGAAAAGAAAAAAATAATGGCACATAGTAGGGACTTGATGATCCAGAGCTGTATTCTTGGTATACTCACTTGCACACAGGGATGCAGGAAGAGGAATGAATATGAGGTAGAAGGCAGAGTTAAGTTTAGGACACACTGAGTTTGAAATGATAATCAGGACATCTAAAGGTTGTGTACCTAGAAGTACTGCCAGTACCTAATAGAGACTGAGTACATACCTAATGTTTTTGTTTTTATTTATTTTTGTTTGTGTTGGGTCTTCGTTGCTGCACGCGGGCTTTTCTCTAGTTGCAGCAAGCAGGGGCTACTCTTTGTTGCGGTGTGCAGGCTTCTCATTGCGGTGGCTTCTCTTGTTGTGGAGCATGGGGTCTAGGCTCGCAGGCTTCAGCAGTTGTAGCGCACGCACTTAGTTGCTCCGTGGCATGTGGGATCTTCTCGTACCAGGGCTCCAATCCGTGTCCCCTGCATTGGCAGGCGGGTTCTTAACCACTGCGCCACCAGGGAAGCCCAACACACATCTTTCATGCAATAAATATGTACCGTGTCAGACTTTTATGTGTGAAAGGGCCTTTAGTTCACAGATCTCTTTCCCTTTTTTTTTTTTTTTTTTTTTTTTGCGGTATGCGGGTCTCTCACTGTTGTGGCCTCTCCCGTTGCGAAGCACACGCTCCAGACGCACAGGCTCAGCAGCCATGGCTCACGGTCCCAGCCACTCCGCGGCATGTGGGATCTTCCCAGACATGGGCACAAACCTGTGTCCCCTGCATTGGCAGGCGGACTCTCAACCACTGCGCCACCAGGGAAGCCCCCCACTTCTATTTTTAACTTCTCTGATCCACACCAGACATACTGTGTTCATTAGTTGTTTCACATGGATATTACGTGTCACCT